GTCCCAGTCCCAATTGTTTACTTGTTTGCACATTTAAAGTCTCGCACAGAATGTTTCAAGTTTTCCAGTAATATATTCTGATTTCCAGTGCAGCAGCAGTCTTCAAATTGAGTTGTTTTCAGAATACTTGAGGGCAACAGAGAGAATATAGGCGTACTTTCATTCAGTGCTCAAGTATTTTCAGTCAATTTGATTACAAATCCAGAGTCAGAGAAAAGTTTCCTTCTATGTTTCCGCTGTTATAGCCATTCCGCAGTGCCATCTTAATGAAGTGGTCACCTACATTAACAGCCATTTTTCCATGGAACCAATCGATTTCCTCATATACTTGTGTAAATATGCCCTCTTTTATGTGGTCAACTTGCCCAGCCAACAGTGGCCACGCACAATTTGTAGATTAACCTGTATTAGACTTTCACAACTTCCTGATGAGAGTGTAATTTCAATTCATAATGCAATAAAAAGAAGGTCGGATATTATTGTTTCTACAGTAGCTTTGTTACAATGCAATATCATGTTGAGGAAAATAGACATATCTAGAGTTCTTCATTTTGCAGGGTGATTAATTTGTGTTCCAGATATCAGTAAATGAGGTTCATGCACACTGAATGTCGACAAATTGGAAGAAACAAAGTGACAAAAAAGATTTGCAAACAGCAGGTACCAGGAATTGAATTATTTTGGGTAAGAGTTATTCAAGTGTGTAGGTGCAAAAAACCTTCTGATATTTTGACTGATTTATTTAATGATTAAGGATTAAATGACACTTTAACAGCAACGGTCATTGACGCCCAAGTTAAATATCAATTTAAAGCAAAGTATACAATGTACGAGGACAATGTATACATTAAATAAAAAGGCCATTCCAGAGGCAACTATCAAGCTGATTACAGGAACATAAACAAATTTGAGAATAAGACCCAAAAATTAACCAAAATGTATAAGATCGCCATAAAATAGAAATAACACAAAATTTGAAAATTGGTCCGATTGTTACCTATGCACACAGCAGAAAATCGTGAATGAATGTAGTCACTATACCAAGAGAGCAGAAACCATCACCAATAATGACTCTACTGGGTAAAGCTGGAAAATGCATGGGTGGAAAAAGGATGAAAGGATATAACAAGGAAAATAGTTTTAAAACGTCCCTCCATGAGCAAGAACCATTTAAATTCCAGAATAGGAGAGTCCTACTATGTGTAGTAATTAGTTTCTTTCCTTTCATTTTTTGATTTG